TGGCTGAGCATGCCGATGTGGCACAGCGGTGAGTGCCGTGAAGGGAGTAAGTTGGGGAAATGTGGTGAACAGGGACCAGGGGCACAACTCTGGACTAAGACCCACATGAGGACCACTGACCTGAGACTCACACGACGAGAAGGACCCCGTCAGAGGGAGATGGCGGGGGAAACGTTTCAGAAGGCAGCAGAGAGGGTCTGTGTGGTGCAAAGCAGGGAGGCCAGAGTGGGAGGCAGGGCGAGGTGGGGCCAGCGTGGGGACCATGATGAAATTTGGGCTTTATTCCAAGTGAAGCAGGACGCTCCCGGAGCACGTCAGACAGAGACGCCGCCTGGTCCACACTCCCTCTCAGCGTTGGGCAGTGGGTCCCCCCTCGTAACTTGCACCATGGACTCATCTTTCTAGCTGCTCATAGAACAGTGAGAGATTCAGGGGAAAGAGACACAGACGAGGTTTTCTCCAACAAGACCCTACGACATCCCTTTGAATGGTCCTCCATCATGTCAAATCTAAAGCGTCGGTCACCTAAGACCGTTCTTTTCCTAGAGACCCCACCTCCGTCAGCAGAACCGCACGCTTCCACCCTCCGCAGCCAGCGACGCGTGAGACTCTCCCTTGTCCCGCTCCCCCTGGCACTAGTTTACTGTTGCTGCATGACAAATTGCCACACGCGTAGCTTAAACTGCACCCATTTGTTACCTCACGCTCCCTGTAGTTCCCAGCTCCAGGCCTGGCTGAGCTGGTTCTCAGATCAGCACCTCACAAGATGGGCTCTGGTCTGGAGCTCGGAGTTTTCCATCAAGCTCGCACAGTTGTAGCACCAAGGCCACATTCCTCTTTCTAGCTGTCAGCCAGGGGTACTCTCAGCTCCTAGACGGTGCCCACAGTTCCTTGCCAGGTGGCCCCCTCCCTAGGCCATCACTTAACCAACTGCCTCATCTTAAATATGAAGACTCGGAGGTCCAGAGAGGTTAAGCCACTCATTGGAGGTCACACAGCTAGACAGTGAAACTGCTGGAACTAAAATCAAGACTCCTAAATTTCAACTTAGAGTGGCTTCTCATTTCCAAAGCGTCTTTTAAGTGCTCCCCACCTACAACAAGGCAAAACGGGGAGCAACGGCCTGGTGTCAGAAAGTACTGCCCGATGGGGACAACCACCGAGAATGGGCCCCGCTTTCAGGGAACAAGTCACGTTTCTATTCCTGCTCTTGGTTTAGCTCTATAAACAGGTTCACAAAATAAACAACAGGATGAGGGATGCTCTTTAACCACCATTCATAGCCTTCAGGCAAAATGTATGTAAAATTCGTTTTCTGTTTCGGAAAGCAGATACGTGGAGTCTGAAATGGGAATGGACCATGCTGAACAACCGATGACATCGTCTCTCTGTATCAGTTCCTTTATCATCGCAAGTAGGGGATAAAGGCCAAGCAGAACTGCTAACTCCAGGTTTAGCACGGCTGTGAACGCTTCACGGTGAAATATATATATATATATATATATGTTCACCTCACAAGGCTGGCATCTGGCATACGAGTCTCTTCTTAGTAAGTGAAATGCTGCTTCTAAAACATATTTGAAATAAATCTTGCAAACATCGGCAACTAGTTAATTGCGTCTGAGTTAGGCAACCAGTGGTTACTTTCACCTGCGTTCCTTAGTTGAGATGGACGTAACCACAGTCACCGACTGCTCTAAAATGCATCCTCGTGTCTGAAGCAGCAGCTCCCACCCTGTGCTGGGCGGAGTCTGGTCGCAACTGTAAAGAAGACAAAACACAGCCGCGTGCGACATCCATGTCTAGCGCACTTGCTCAAAGTGTGTTAAGAAACACAGCCTCTCCCGACACAAAACCCAAAGCGTTCTATTTTTTTTTTTTAACATCCTTTGTAAAACTAACATCAAAGTGTTGGAATCAAAATAAGTCCTCGACTTAGCTTTGTGAGTGCTGTGGACTGTCGGCTAGCTCACAGGAATCCAGGCACTGGCAGAAATTACTTGAACGTATCAGAGATATTAGAGTTATCTGCAAATATTAAAAGGAATACCTTACGAGAAGCTGTATGAAACCAGGACAGCCAAACTGCCTTCCTCCTCCTGTTCAGCCTCATACCCCCATTTATAAGTGACTGCTTTTCAGACATTCACCAATAAAGCTATAGTGCTCTGAAATTGAACTATAAAATAAATAGACATAGTATTTGGGGAGATGAAAATAAAACCACTTTGCCAGGGTGGAGACAATATTCTCCGACCTAAAGCTTGGCTAGCATTGATTTCGAGAGATCTGGAAAGCAGTAAAAAGCAATAAGCCTTTGTCTAGAGAATCAACGGCAATTACTAGAAACTCTTCATATTCTGGTATTGTTTCGGCTTCTAGGTGTTAGCATCAAAAGGAAAGGCATTAGGGACGTATGCCTTTTGCTAGACAATCATCTGGACCCTGCTCCTGCTGGCTGCTTCCAGGGGAGCCAAGGCACCTGTGTTGTACTGATTGGGGCCTGACTCCCAGCAAGGTCCCCTCCCCGCCCCGAAGCTGACTGCATCTTGTTTGTGCAACTCTGTGATGAGCAGAGAGTGAAGACGGGTGACCCATCACTCTACTAAGGGAAAAGGATTGCTTGCCTCAATCTGCGATTAAACATCTGCTGTAGGAAATCTGGAAAACTGAATTTTCAAATATTTGGGTTGACTATAATTTTTACATATAAATCCTGATATTTCTGACTATAACATGTGCTTTAATAAAGACGATGGTAAGTTGAACCTAATTTTTAAATCTAAAGACTTAGACATCACAAGGAGAATTCCTCTTCCTTTTCTTCTTCTTGTGTTTATATGAGAAGATGGGTGTTAGCTGAACCTTCTGTGGTCATTTCACAGCTTATGTAAATCAAACCATCGTGCCGTATGCCCTAAGCTTACAGAGTGATGTATGTCAGTTACTTCTCAATAAAACTGCAAGAAAATCTTCAGACTCAGAGAACAAAGGAGAGGTCCAAGGTTTTCCTCACCACCTGCAGGGCCTAGGCCGCAGTGATGCCTCTCCTTTGGGTAAGAATGGGTGTCCAGAGCTTTGACCAAGGGCCCCGCACCCAGCTTGGCCCTGAATGTCAGCTCACTCGGCCCACATCACTCCTCTGAGAGGCAGCAGTTATAACTGGCCCACTTGTCCAGAGGAGAAAATAGAGCTTGGAGACTCGGGCCAAGGGCATATGCCCCACACATGGTCCCCAGGGGCTCAAATGCAGGCAGACACACAGGGACGCATCCTCGGACCCTCGGCATCTTCCACACCAGTAAACCCCTTTACACACATCCCGGGAGGTCCCGGAACACACATGTGCCGCAGGTGTCACTGGGCACACCAACTGTGCCACTGTCAGCTGCACCGTCCTTGTTTTACTTTCAGATAAATGTGTATGTCCGTGTCCAGACACGAGTCCCGCCTATTCTGTACCCTGTTCTGAGGGATTCCAAGGGATCAGATGCACGGCCGTCTTCTGAACACCAGTGGATGTTCTAGAAAGAGAGGACTGTATTTGAAGATCAACTGCTTTAGAAATCAGAAATCTACACTGCACCTAAAGAAACTGGAAAAAGAACAAACAAAGCCCAAAATCAGTAGAAGGAAGGAAATAAATCAATCAGAGCAGAAATAAATGAAATAGAGACTAAAAAACAAGAGAAAAAAATCAATGAAAGCAAGAGCTGCTTCTTTGAGAAGATAAACAAAATTGACAAACCCTTAGCTAGACTCACCAAGAAAAGAAGAGAGAAGGCTCAAATTAAATCAGAAATGAAAGAGGAGAAATTACAATGGACACCTCAGAAATACAAAGAATTACAAGAGAATACTATGAAAAGCTATACGCCAACAAATTGGAGGATCTAGAGGAAATTGATAAATTATTAGACTCATACAACCTTCCAAAACTGAATCAAGAAGAAATAGAGAATCTGAATAGACCAATCACCAGTAAGGAGATTGAAACAATAATCAAAAACCTCCCAAAAAGTAAAAGTCCAGGAGCAGACGGCTTCCCTGGTGAATTCTACCAAACATTCAAAGAAGACTGAACACCCATCCTTCTCAAACTCTTCCAAAAAATTGAGGAGAAGGGGAGGCTTTCTAACTCATTCTACGAAGCCAACGTTATCCTGATACCAAAACCAGACAAGGACAACACAAAAAAAGAAAATTACAGACCAATATCACTGATGAACATTGATGCAAAAATCCTCAACAAAATACTAGCAAATCAAATACAACAAAAAATCCTCAACAAAATACTAGCAAATCAAATACAACAATACATTAAAAAGATAATACATCATGATCAAATGGGATTCACTCCAGAGATGCAGGGATGGTTCAACATCCGCAAATCAATCAATGTGATATACCACATTAGCAAAAGGAAGAATAGAAATCAAAAAAAAAAGAGGGGGCCGACCTGTGGCCGAGTGGTTAAGTTCTGGCGCTCGCACTTCGTTGGGCCAGGGTTTCACCAGTTTGGATCCTGGGCACAGACGTGGCACAGCTCATCAGGCCATGCTGAGGTGGCATCCCACATGCCACAACTAGAAGGACCCACAACTAAAAATACACAACTATGTACCAGGGGTCTTTGGGGAGAAAAAGGAAAAATAAAATCTTTAAAAAAAGAAACTGTCTCTTTAAAAAAAAAAAGAAAGAAATCAGAAATCTGAGCATCTAAGAGGTGAAGTGACTTGCTCAAGGTCCCGATGCTCACTGGCTGCAGAATGAGAACCAGAACTCAGGTCTTCTGTTTCCTGAAAGGTCTTAGGTTTCTTCTGGTGGCACATCTAGGAGGCTGCCCACGTGATAAGAGTAGACCCTCCGCTTCCTACGGGGCTTATACCGATTATAAGAGGAAGACGGCGCTAACCGAGAGAGAAGCAAATCCCAGACTCTGAATCAAACGCAGACGGGAACACTGCGGACAAGCTGAACCCAGGGAAACGGCTCCTTACCTGAGGCTCTGAAAAGAGTAACCCCGTAACTCCATGTTCCACCACGGCTGCATTCCCAGGGATGTTCCTCGCCAAAACCGGCACCTCCAAATCCATGGCCTGAAGGATGGAAGAGGAAAGAAGACAGGTTGAGCAGTCATTTTAAGAGCTTCTCTGGCGAGAAGAGCCAACTTGCAGGAAGATAAATTCCTGTGCTAACTGGACCTCTGGCACCTCACAAAAAACACCGCTTGCCAAAATGATACCCAGCCTAAACACTGGGTTTCCAAACTGCATAATGCATTTTAATTACTTACTGTATTTGCAAGTTCTGGAAAACTACACACTGCAGGAGTTTGTCTGACATAATTACTGCCATGTCACAAAGAACCCTCTCTCCAAATGTTCATTTGACACCTCTTCAGTGACAGCTTGGAGTATACATTTTTAATTACCATCATTATTTTCCTTAATGAGTGATTTTCTTCCAACACAAGTGGGATGAAGGCTTTGAGCACCGAGCACGTCTCTTTGGCGTGCAGACGAGAGGAAGAAGGCATGTGATCTAGCATTCCAATTATTCACCGAGCAGGCTTTCCATTCCCAGAGGTCTGGGGTCAGCCAGCACGTGGCACCCTGTAGCCCAGCACAGCCCAGCATCGAGACCTCAAAAAGATGCCCGAGAGCACAGCATTCAGGGTGGGCCTCTCCTGCCAGGAAGGCTGCATTTTTCTGGATCTCTTCCTACACTTTGGGGGAGCTGGACCCAGAAGGGTCTAGAGTTAGGACAGCTCTTCCGAGGTCTCTGTCAGACTCCTACATGGAATCTCCTCTGGCTATTCTACCTCGGCCAATCCAGCTTCTATGTGGCAGGTGCCCTCTGGCAGTAAGAGGGACATCCCTTCACAGCTTGGTGTCGAGGCAGGACTGGCTTCCATGCCCAGCAAACCAATAACCTGGCTTTTACTATACACAAGTATGTTTTAGGTACCATGATTCTGCCTGCGGGATCCAATCTCACATAATAAAAACCTGGTCACGCAGGGGTGACATATGTTTTTCAGAAATGTAACATTACCCAATCCCAGCGGCTTAGTATATTGCAGAGGGAAGTTCTATGACACCAAGGACTTCATATGACATGCAGACTGCCAACGCCCAAGTGCCCAGAGCAGCTGCGACACACAGCAAGCGCTCAGCGAATACTTGGGGAGCAAGTACCCCGGAAGCATCTGTACATAAATTACTAATAAGTCAGTGCTGTTCACACTGTGGTCATCTCATCGCTAGCAGTTGTCTGGGTGGCTCACCTGGTTTTCTGGCTCTCTCCATCTTCCCAGTTCACTTTGAGTTTAAGATTCAGGCCCTAGAAAATGTAGGAGAGCCGGGAACACCCTTCATCTCTGCCCCTCTGACACTATTCTGTTCCCAACGTCTGGGAAAGTGGTAGAGCTGGTTTGAACCATGGACCAGAGCCACCCAGTTCATCCCCAGCTGCTTTCCTGAAACAGCGATGAGTCTCTCTCTGTCAGGTTCTCTTGTCGGCGCTTCATGACCATAGAAAGTCTCTAAGTCATGATTTTCCACTTTGATCTTGTAGGGTAACGACTGGGGATCTTTGAGCGTCACTGCACTCAGCAGCAAGGCAACTTAACAGCACAGGTGAAAGGTGACCCGCGACGAGCTCATCTCAACGGAGGGGCACGGTGCTTTACGAACTCACTGGGGGGCCACTCGGGTCTGACACACCGCAGGTACAATCTGGCATTTCAGAAAAGGGCCCAGGGCCAGGAGTCAAGAGCCTTGGCCGCGAGCTGGCGGGGGGGGCTCTGCCCTGGGCTAACACAGTGGGTCTCAACCTCACTGTGATCACAGTCAGTTGGAGGGACGGAGTAAAATTTCCATGTCTGGGCCCCAACTCCCCCATGCCATCCCACCCCACGACTCTAAGGCAGTTGGCCTGGGGCGGGGGGCGGGGAGGCGGGGATCAGGCATTCCCGAAAGTTCCTCACATGATTCTAGTGTACAGCCAGGAGCAAGAACCACTGGGCCAGCAGGTGCACTGACACACAGCACTGGACCTCTTCCTGGGCCCCAATTTTTCATCGGGAATGAGGAACTAAACTTTCCCCTCCAGAGTACGTGGAAAGTTCAGATGTTATTTTGCACAAACACCACGGATGTGGTTTGTGGTCGAAGCTGATGAGGACACTGACTATGTGAGTTACAAGGTCATAATATAATTACGGTGCATGAGTCCATAAGGCATGTGTTCGTGCTGTCTGAAGGCTTCTTTCTCTGCTTGTCCAGCTCATTAAACGAGCACAACACACTGAGATCTCATTTCCAGGCATTTGTCGCCCAGCTGCAGAATCCTCCACGTGGATGAGAGCTTCAAGATCATCTCATCTCATCCCACCGTCTCATTTGAGAGCAGAGGCTCGGACAGAGGCTGTCGACACTCGGGGCACAGGACTAGCCCTGTTTGCACTTCCTCTCTTCCAGGAGGCCCCTGCAGCATTTTCAAATTCAAATGGTGCATTTATCCACTGAAGGAGGTTAAGCACCTGTGTATTTGTGGAGAACCTGCGGCAGACGCATAGATTGAGAGGAGACAGCTATGGAAATAGGTGTAGAGATAGATAAAGACACAAATGTAGATATATAAAACTAGCGATCTGAGATCACAGAACTGGCCCATCCTGAGGGATGGCAGAGTTCACCTCCCTGTCTCCAGCAAAGAGGACCTTATCACCCTCCTGTTGCACAGACTCACTTGTGCACAACTCGACCAGCACTCACCACGCACCCCTCATACGTGTCAGGCCACGTGCCCGAGACTTGTCCAGTTGTTGTCCACTCATTCAATGAACATTTGCTACCGACCTGCAGACGGCAAGACTCAGGAGGTTTGGGTGATGGGACCAGGCATTTAAAGGGGAGCCAGAGAGGTGGTATTGTGTAGTAGTCGAGCTTTGCTCGATCCAATTAATATTATTAATTATTAATGGCACTCAGCTAGACTTTGGGGAGGACCCAAGGTTGCAGAGGACACGTTCCTTGCCTTCAAGGAAAACTGCAGTTCAGTAGAAAAGATGAAACACAATCTGGGTTGAGAAGTTGTGAAGGGACCTGAGGGAGAAGATAAGTAAATGTACTCTGATGGTTGTATATTCACAAGAAACTGATTGTGAAGTTCCCTCTTTAAAAACAAGCTGTCTTAAAGAAAGCAGACGTCTGAAGAATGAGTAAGAGAATCAAAATGCTATTTCCATATAGCCAAGACATGGTATTAATGACTCTGACACTTGATTCTTAAGTCACTTTCTTAAGGTGTGAAGTCACCTCCTCAAGTCTGAAGTTATCTCTTTAAGAAAGGCAAAGTCCCGGGAGAGGACGATGGTGCGGGGTTGGTCCTTGAAGTGTCTCATGCCCCCGGTGTTGGGCAATGCCACGTGCATCTTCTGTACACGTTCTATTAGTGAGCAGAGAGAGACGAAAGCTGAGTCGGGTGTGAACTTGGAGCAGAGAGTTCAAACCTGGTATTGGGGGCTCCACCTGGGGACTGGGAGTGACAGGTCAGAGTAGGAGGCAGCCAGCACCTGGCTGGGCTCACAGCACTTGATTTCCTTTTTCTTGGATGAGCTCTTCGACCTTTTTAAACCTCTGTAGCTGGTTCCCCATCTTCAGCAGGGCTGACGAAGGTTTCCAGAGACACTGCCTCAACCCTACCCTGTGGAGCAGGCTGGAGAAACACACCTGCCAGGCCCCATGCCAAACCAGTAAAGCAGACCCTGAAGGGTGGGCATCGTCTCCTGGATTCACAGTTTTTAAGCTTCCGAGGGAATTCCGATGCACACTCTAGGTGGAAAACCTTTGTGTCCTGATTGTCTTGCACAGACGTTTGCTTGCGTTTCAAGGGCCCTGACTGAGGAATGTGCCCACTACAGTGATCATGGTCTGTTCGCTGGGGCTGGGGCTGGTCTGAGGGTCCCACTGGCAGATCCACACAGTGCATTCGGATCTTACATCATTGGGGTTAGAGTGCTTCTCTGTGGGAATGCCAATGGCATTTTGGGTACAACTCTTTGATGCAAAAGACTGTTCCACATCTTGAAAATACATCACATCTCTGCAGTCCCCACGCCTCCAAACGCAATTCCAGCAGCATCACCCTAACTGTGACAACTCAAAAAGCCCTTCACTGCTCCAAGTAGGAAGAGCCCGGTACTCTCTCCCTCCCCACATACACACTCTGCAACTAGTCAAAGTCAAATGACTCATAGTCACAGTTGTGCTTGAAAAGCCCTTAAACGAATCTTCAGTCTCTAGAGCCTGGCCTGGAAGCAAAGAGCCCAGGAATTTTCTTCTTATTGCTCTTTGCTTTAGAATATGGCCCTCCTTTCCCCTGGGCAATGGAAACTGTGACTCGGAGGGTAGAGTATGTGTGTGTGTGTGTGTGTGCGCGCGCGCGTGCGTGCGTGCTTGTGTGTGTGTGTGTGTATGTGTGTGTGTGTGTCTGTGTTCTGGGGGAAGGAGAGCCTAATCACAAAGACTGAGGTAACAGAATACTTGTCTTGTATTCTTTTAATTTAACTCTGTGCAGAATTCAACTCCATAACAAGCCCAAACTTGAGACAACGGATTCCTTGCAAGAATGTTCACCCTACTGCCCACATATGCAGCTGAAGTTTGGTTTTTGGAGTTTATCAGTAAGAAATATGTTTTAGCAAATGGGATTTGTATATGCTTCCATGAGAAAATAAAGCTAATTTGGAAAGGTCGAAAGATCCCTTCCCCCAAAGTGACAGCATTCATTCCACGATTAACCACCCTGGTGATGTGAATCGATTCTAATGAGCTGCCCGCTCACCACTCCTCTAAAATCAGTTCCATTCAAAACCCTCAGCCCAAAGGTTATTTTGGAGTTTTCAGAAGGAACACAACATCAACATTTTAAGGCAGTCAGAATTGCTAACAGCTGCCTTTCCTTTGAAGTAAATGAGATTTGACAGCAATTCATCTGCGATGAAATGCTGTGTGTGCTACTTATCAAATCATTCCCGAATTCTACTTTACCTTTTCTTAAGACGTTGAGGGGGAAAATGTATATTTACATACAAAGGAGCAATTCAGCAACAGCTCAAGGATTGGTACTGTAAGAATGTCTATTTTTAAAGCTAATATGAAGAGTAAAATGCCTTGCTCCAATGACTGTAGTTGGAAGCTGACTTTAAACCACCATGGAGATTAATGCTAATCATTAAGTTTAGACTGAGGTGTTGACGTCTGGCTGAAGACGAACATGTCACAGATGGACGTGATGTGCTCTGAGAGCATCCCAGCCCTGGAGTCAGAGACGTGGGTGTACAGCTTCTAGTCCCACCCCAACACTTGGTCTTGTCTTTGCTTTTTGCTTTTTTAGATGATGCAACATTTAAAAAAATATTAGGCATACAACATCAGTCATTTCTTGACGGAGAATTATTTTTGTCCTGCTTTAGTTATTTACCATGTTCTCTGAAACACTAAGGCTCACAAATTGTACCTTTGCCAGTAAATTCAACTAGTGTCCAAAGGAATAAATGGAGATTACAAATACTTATCATAAAATAACAGCATCACTCTAAGTAGACATTGAAATAAGAAACCCACGTAGCAAGAAAGAGAATGTGAAACCTGATTCCGAGCCCTGGAGGACAATGGCCATGCGTTCCCTTTTCTACAGCAGGTTTTATCCCGTGCTTGTCAATCAGTAGTTATGCATGTCTGTTGTGTGTGACACGTGTGTTGAGAACTATAAGAGATATCAAGGATGCTATAGCTTGCAATTTAACCATATGAAGAAAATGCAATATTGATTGTCAGTTGTGACAGGAGCTAACAGAATCCACCCTTTGCTAAGACCATTCTTCAAAAGGAATCGGGGAGGCAGTGACCTACCAACAAAATAAGAGGAAAATCCTTTTACGTTAGACACACACTGGTGATTACGTCAACTACCAAGAGGCAGTTAAGACGTTCTGGTAAAATACCCCATCCCGTAAAACGCTCAATTGAAGAGAAGAGATTGCAAGGGGGCTTTGAGGTTAGAATAAGTCGTTCTACAGAAGAGCTGACACGGTCAAGCCAGAGCTGGCCCAGAGTTCAAGAGCAGAGGCTTCTTACTCCAGCCTCTCCCGTAAAACACAGATGCCTCGACAATGGACTGCAGAGTTGTGCTGGGATGTGCACGTTTAGCCCAAGTAGATTAAATGATTTTATGGAGCTGAACGCTAGATGAAAAGCTTAGATCTACCCTCATCCCCACCCCCAGGCCCCCTCCCCTGCTGTGTCTGTAATATGCCCCCACATCCCCGGCCACACGCAGAACTCCAACCCTTTCTCATCCCCTAAATTCCAGGATTACAAGACATCCTGAAAAGAGGGAGAAGTCAAGAAAAAGGCTTCTTGCAAAACATGCCTCCATCCTAGATCCTGTCTCAACCTTTCATAACCTCAACTGCCTCCCCATTGAAGCTATCTAGTGGGTCAGAGAAGCAATGTTAACCTAGATTTACCTTACTTTGTGGCTGGCAAGTAGAAATGGCAATGAGAAATGAAATGATATTTTTAAGTCCCAGACAGAACTTAAAAACTACTTTTGAATTCCCAAGGAAACGCTGTCGGGCTCTTTCGGGGTTGAGAAGTGCAGAACTTTATTGACAAAGACGCCTCCTCCATAAACAAGAAAAGGAGTGATGGACGCTTTCCTGTTCCCACTTTCAGGACTCACGTTAGGTAACTACCTCCAGAATGGCAGCTGACATGCCTTCAGAGACGGAGCTGTTCACCACCACGAAGCAACTCTTCATCACTGCGTGGAGATCCCCCTGAGGCATCTCTCCGATCAGGCGCACCCCAGCGGTCCTGAAACAACACGGGGCAGGGAGAGGGTTTCCACGGCTGCCAACCGGACGGGGAGGGGGCTGGGGGAAGGAGATGACAATTTGGGAGAAACACCCTAGCTCGAGTAGGAAGCATTACTGATGAAGGGTTCAGTACAGACAATTATATTGGGTGAGAATCTACCTCCCGTCCCTGACAAGGGAGGGAGGAAGCCTGTTAACACCTCTGCTTTCACTTTGAATGCACGTGATGAAGGCAAACATGCAGCCCAGACCCTGGGAGACAGTCTTTGCAATTTTCTCTGCATGATTTAGAAACCAACCTTTTCCCGAATAACTTTTAAAGACAGTAGCAGAGACAATAATAGACATATAATAAACAGAAAGAAACAGAACTACTAAAATATAATGCAACCAATGTTCCCACCACCCAGAGTTGATAAGATTTTGTGACATAGGTTTTGTCTTGTTTAATTTTTTCATCTAACAATACTGATATTCTTCTCTGTCCCCCACCCTTCTCATGATTTTGACACATATCCGCTCACCTAATTGGTTAAACTCTTACATATGTGCATTCTGCATCCATGAGCAATAAAAAGACACCTGATTATACACGGGGATCAAATCAGTACTTCCCAGCCCCCTTTGCAGGCGGGGTGGCCAGTGAGGCGAAGACAGGGATGGTGAGGAAATCACCTAAAAGGGGGCTGACCCAAATGGGAGATGATCCTTCTGAGCCTCACCCTCGCCCTTTCCCCTCTCCTCACTTAAAATGCAGAATGTGATGGGTGGAGCCCTACAGCCACCTTGTCACCTTAAGGATGGAGGCCACAGGTGAGGGACAGCTGGACAGAGAGATAGGAGCCCAAGTCCCTGAGTCTCACCTGGTCCTTGACCAACGACGTCAGATTTGTCTATGGGAACAATTAAGCCCCAGCGTGTTTAAGCCAGTGTTGTTGGGTCTCTGTTACTGGCAGATGAATGCAATTTATAACAAATACTCCGACAAATTGCTCTCCAAAAGGTGGTGGCAACTCCCGCCCTCACCAGCAGAGTATGAGAGGGGTGTGGTTTTCCTCTACCCTTCCAAACCCTTGGTCTTTTAAGTCTTTTCAGTTTTTGCCAATCAGCAAAAATTATGATCTCAAGGTGGTTTTCACTGGCGTTTCCCTGAACTAGCGAGCTGGACATCTTTTCACCAGCGTGTCCACTCTGCCGCTCACTAGGGAATTGCTCACGCTCCCGGTACATCCATTTCCTAGCCTGTGAGTGGGGAAAGGGACAGTGCGAGGCTCTCATGAGCTCCCGGGGAGATGAACTGAGTCTGTGAAGCGCTCGGGCAGCGCCTGGGACACGGGGAGTCCTGGACAAACAGGGGACTGAGTTACTGGTGGGGCACTAGGTTTCCTCTCCTGCAAAACACCTGTTCGCTAGCTACACTTACCTCCTTACTTTAGCTTTTACTTCCCTTGTAAACACTGGATCAACCTGAAAAGAGACAAAAATAGATTTTAGGAGAAGCCTGAAATGAGCCTAAGTCTCAAGAGAATGGCTTATCCTGGCAGCAGAGCTCCGAACAGCTCGGAAGGAAGAAACCAAATCAAATAAGAAATGAGTCCAGCTACTACACAATAATAATAAGGAAGATAGAAGGACTTGAGAGAAGGGTCAAAGAAATATACATATGCTCCTGTTTGCTGTTTGGCCTGCAAGGTAAGAGCCTAGTCAAATCCCAGAGCCCTTACCCAACTCAAGGTCCTGAAACAAGTCATTGATAGCCACAGGATAATCTGACACCAACACATCAGCGAAAGGTCTGCTTAATTCCTTACAGCGGTGGATTTAGTCATAAAATCTCTGAGGCAGAAGGAGTTGGAACCCTTAGTAGATCTAAGACAAAAGAACTGACAGAATTAAAATTTTATTTTTATCCAGGAGCCTTCCCAGAAACACAGTTCTAAAGCCAAGGGCACGTCTATGAGCTGATGCATGAATAAACAAAATGTGGTCCCTCCATACGATGGAATATTACTCAGCCACAAAAAGGAAGGCAGCACTGACACCTGCTACAACATGGATGAAGCTTGAAAACATTATGCTAAGTGAAAGAAGCCAGACAGAAAGGACCACATATTATGGATTCTGTTTACATGAAATGTCCAGAATAGGCAAATCCATTGAGAAAGTAGATTAGTGGTTGCCAGGGTCTAGGGGGTGGAGAGAATGGGGAGTGACTGCTAATGGGTATGGGGTTTCTTCTGGGGTGACAAAATGTTCCAGAATTAAATAGGGGTGATGGTTGCAAAACATTGTGAATATACTAAAACACTCCAGATTATATACTTTAAAATGGTGACTTTTATGGCATATGAATTACATCTTAATTTAAAAAAAGCCAAGTACAACTTTTCAATGAGTCACAACCTAATATTCTTGAGTCTGGATTTTACTCCTATTTCATATCTGGAGGGAATGTGTCCTTTGGAACAGGGACTGTGTTTTGTCCTCTTGCATCCCTGGAGATTGATATGTTTGTTGAATTAATGCAAAAATTAATGGCAATGTTTTCAAGCTGATCTGCTATACCCACATTCTTTACTCCACATGTTTTGGGGTTTTTTTTCTGCTTTTCTCCCCAAATCCCCCAAGTACATAGTTGTATATTTTAGTTGTGGGTCCTTCTAGTTGTGACTCCACATGTTTTTAAGCAAACATGTAGATGTCTGCTTAACATGTGGACAACGTCTACATCATATGTAGATGTGCAGAGGCAGGAGGATGTACCAAGATGGTAGAGACTGAGCGGGCTCTGGACAGACCACCAGGGTCAAATCCCCCATGTCCCTCACCAGCCACGTGACCTGCATATGTCAGTGGAGCTTCCTGGACCTGGGCTTCCTCATCTTTGAAATGAGAATAACAATGGCGGCTTGGGATCGGTGAGAGGACCAAACATAATCAGCCCTTAGAACTGTGCCCGAGACACAGCAACCGCTATACGAGTAACAGAAAAAGACTGCTAATTATCAAAGCCCTTCTAGAAAGCACAATGGGACCTGCAGATGGCACCACCAACAAACATATCTATAAGCTAAATCTCAAATGTTCACCTTCCCAATGACACTGCTCAGCTTCTCAACAATCCGGAGTTGAGAGTTAAAGAGAAAGGAGCTTGGATGCCCGGAAGCGATCACCATACTCAGTGAGGAACCCCCCTCACTCCTGACCGTCCGAGAGCTCACCGCAATGCTCTCTGTGCAGTGACCTCTCCCCAGCTGCGTTCACTTACCAGGTACCACAGGGTCTCGGGGCGAGCTCCCTGCCTCTCACAGGGCTCCCACAAGCCTGCTTAGGACGAAGCTGCCGCATATATTTATCACTTCTGGTTCATCCAACTGCAAACTCCCCCTCAAAACAACCAACAGACAATGGTTTTGCCCCCACTGCCCTCCACTGGGTTATTAACAACAAACACAATTTTAAAAGAACAGATAAAACATTCTTGAATTTATGCGAGTGTAACACAAAATTCTAAACATTTCTTCAAAGACACAGGCGGGTGAAGGTGTAAACGCGTTTCACTAATACAGCGTCTGCTGGCTCGTCCTGTCATTTCTCCCGATGAGCCCGAGGAGAAAGCAGATTCCATCTCTATCCTCATTTACACTTCACCAGTAGAGATAGGAACTGCACACCAGGTCGGTGTAAGGAATATGACAATATCCCATAGTTTACCAGGCTAACCGAAATAATGTTGCATTTTCCAGAAACTTTATTTCGGTTTCTTTGGGGAAAGAAATGCTTCATATGAGTGTGTGTATGTGTGTGTGTGTGTGTGTGTGTGTGTGTGTGAAAAACCTCACATCCTCCAGATCACTGGCATGACTGAGATTCCTCCTAAAGGCCGGGGAGTGGGGAGCTCATTTACATCCTTGAGGTCACCACATGACTTTGAAGGTCAACGCAGCAAATGTGGATGCATAAGGAAAATTGAAATTATCCCTAGAGGTTTTTTTATAGTTTAATGCATTTTAACAGCAAACTTATAGGAACAGCACAGAAGACAGACAACATTAAACACACGCACTTGCACGCAAGACAACTCAGAAAAGTATATTAAATGGCTGGAATCCACTGTACGATAAAGATTCAGCAAACACCATTTAGATGTTGTCAATAAGAAATTTAGTTGTTTTAAGAAAATCCAAATGCTGGCATTACGCAGAAAGTTTTAACAGGTTTCTTTATAATTGCTACGAAATTCAGGGGCTGAACCTTGCTTGCTGAAACATTGTGATCTGCATTGGTGCCTTACATCCCTGCTTTTATATTAAAAATTCACATACAAATGAAGACGGAAACACTGCCAATATTTGATTTCTGTCTCCTATTTTTCCACTCTCAATCAGATACTTAGGTTCCTTTTGACCCCATAGGGGAAAAACAATCTAATGTTTGGAACTACTAGTAACAAAAAGAAGATAATTTTTTTTGAGGATGAAATGTTTCCCATCCAGGTGGAGTCTGAAGCACACTCTCTGTGTATGCGGCGTGCTGGCGGGATGTTGGTGGCATCATCTGTACGCCTTTGGCACAGACAGCACACAGGCGGACGTCTTCATGAAGGACAACCAGAAGGCCCTCACTTGCCTCCTGCAAAGCACCAAGGGCTGCGCTGTGGAAGCGCAAATCTGTTTGGAAGTCCTGAGCAATTTCTCACACCAGATGCTGGGAGGGAAGTCTGTGGATGAGAAGTTCAGTGGCCTTCTGACAACGTCTCTTTTCAGGGAGCGCCCCGCGCAGGCCTATAGTGATGAGGTTCCTTTGCCCTCCAGCTGGGGATGCACTCTTGCAGCCTGGTGCTTCACGACGGGCTGACTGGCGGCAATGGGCTCTAGGAGCCACGGTTAGAGACCTCCTTACCCAGCTCCCTTCTCCTTCATGGAGCTCAGGGACCTAGAGGCAGGGCCAGGGTTAGAGAGGGACACACGGGGGTGGCAAACACAATTCTTTAACGAATAAACTCACAGCTATGCACGATTCATCATTTACTGCTGTTGTTAGCAGTCAATATTCCCTCGCCACTAACTCTGGGCCTGACCTACGCTAAGTCCTAGCTATGCCAACAATCCTGCCGTCATGATTCCCACAGAAGACAAGAGGACACGGAAGCTCAGAGACCTGGGGTAACTTAGCCAGGATCACACAGCTAGAAAAGTGCTGGGCCAGGATCCGAATTCGGGCAGTCTGATGTGAAACTGAATTCTTAAAACCATGCTCTCCTGCCTCCCTGGTTTCTATTGGAGAGTTTTATTAAATAGTTCATGAAAAGCCAATGTGGATTAGGGAATACCCACCTGCTCACCTGTTTACTTACTCACTATCTCCAGTCTACCCATTTCCCACCCAGCTCCTAATTGTATGCCATTCTCTCCACCAGGAATGTCACCTTCTGCCCTAAAGCTGCTCATCCCCCAAGGCACAGGCAAATGCCACCTTCCTGAGAAACCTTCCCGCCACCCAAACCAGAAGGAGCATCTCCTCCCCAAACTCCACCACCTCCTACCAAACATGGGCCCGCCTTTTTTGACACGTGTCCACCTCGTCTCCTGACACGTCTCCAGGTCCCTCCCAAGGCCGTGACAGGGCCCTGCGTGCAGTTCTATGCTCCATAACATTGGCTAAATGACTGATTTCCAACCCGCCCCACTCTTGCGTTTCCCATTTCTGATTCTTTTTTTTAAATTACCCTAAACAACTAAGTTACATGAGAACCCTAACGTCTCACGTGAAAACATAGCTGGTCTCACGGAAGCCTCCTTTTGGCTCTACATTCTAATGTTCAAATTCACCTTTGACTTATGATCACTTTCAGTTAGAAATTCCTCTTGTTTTAAATTTTATTAGCACACTTCTGCTCTCATGATTAACTATTTAGGGGAAAATAATTTGTCAAGGAAGAAAAATGAAATTTTACAAGACCACTGAAATACTTCATACCTTAACATTTCATTGGAGGCTTCACAGCAACTTTCAAGTCAAAAGTACCAACTGCATTAAACTTTCCCGGGTTTACCTTCCACATCAGTGCCTTTTCAAATCTCTTAGTGAAGCCAAGTGGAACAAAACACAAGATAAAGAAAAACAGAAGGGTAGATATTTCTATTTAATGACAGCACATGTTATGAAATTTTAAAAAGCAAAAAGCATTGCAAGCAGCAAAAAAAAAAAAAAAAAAAAAAACACCTCATTTCCTCCTTCTCAGCTTATTTATTTTCAAGTAAAATATACTGTTTCAACTCCCAGGCTTAAGGAACATAATCTTCGATATGAGAAGTTACTGTGGAAAGTCATTAAGCTGTCATGCTCAAACCAAATGTTCATAGCCCACTCCTTATCAAAGAGTACCAGCAAAGGCACCCACTCCAGACCCCCGGCGAGCAGAAGCCACACGCTTTGCTGAAATGGTTGAACTGACAGATCAAAGA